TGTTTATATGAGGCATTATGTAATGCGATGTGCCAGAATGTCTATGTTTGACTGCCTTCGCTATAAGTTTACAGCGCGTCCTCATAGTTAATTACGGCCGAAACCGAAGTTGTGTTTCGGGTCTCGATGTGGATCAGGCAAAATAATATTGGTACTTTATATCCACCTAGTTTGTCGTTACGATGAACACTTTTCATGATATTAACACCAGATGCCAGTGTTAGAAAGAATTTGGATCTTACAGGTAGTAAACTAGGAATCACTGCTGAGGAACCTCCCCATTAATGTGAACTACAGTTTAGCACTCTCAATCCCCGCTTTGTTACCTGCCCTTGTGAAACCAGCGTGTGCGTGTGTGTGAATATTAGCTTCGAGTACTAGATCTCAGGCCAATATCGGCAGCAACAATTCCTTAGGGGTACACTTACACAATTGCGCAGTTCCTTGGCAACATACTTGAGATTTCTGTTGTCGTTGTTATGTGCTTGCATGTTGAGATACGTCGAACATTGTCTTTGGTGACCTATCCTCTTTTCAAGATCCGCAGTTTGGTCACAGCACTGGTTTTAGTTTTGGGCCATAAACTTTGATCAGGCATGCGAATTAATCAGTCTCCGTTTTTTATTCTCTAGATTTCCTTGTCCTTCCGTTCTGTTTATGTGACGGATAATTACGTTGACGCTCCTTTTCTCTCCTTAAATGCCTTTTTGTTCAATTTCCCAAGGAATCAATTCCTTCATTTTTTTATTTTTCTATGTCCCATTGCAGCCGGCAGGTCACAGGAGCTCATGTGTCCCAGCCGTGTTGTCCAAACGATATACACTCAAAATATTGAGCACTTACACGTGAATATGCAATTCAGCAAATTGTTTGAGGACTTCATGCTCAATCTGTGTCTTTCAACTGATTTAGAAGTAAGTTATCTTGTCCCCCTCTTTATATAGTAGGACGCCAGTTTCTTAGCTTGTTTTCTTTATCCAAGTCTGCCTTTTTCTGGTCTTCTTCGATAGGAATATACTTCTGTTTAGTTAGAAGGTCTTAACTGACACCTCCTGAAGGTGGGTGAGCGTTAATAGTGCGGTAGTACCCGCGCAAAGTCTACTGTCACGTAAGGCTAAATTTGGCGGTGTTTCTGGCTTGTATTGGAGAAAGCGGCCAACGCCGGGTCCCGTTTGGTCTTATTGACCCCGGGCGAAGGTGGGGAGTGTGGTTAGCGCCAATTACGTCTGTTATCACTATTACCTACCCCCTGAGACTGTCACCTTCTGTACCAACCTGTTGGTGCACTTGGTGGACTTAGTCGAAATCAATGGTCGAGACACACACATCCAGGACATGGAAAACTCCACCTTACCGAGCAGTTTATTTTTGGGGTGAGGCAGATGAGTTTTGCTAATAGCTGATACCAGTAGACAAGTAAGATGGTTCTTATATGCGCACGAGAATTGCTGTCCTTCTTTCCTTGTGACATTCTTTTGTAAAAAGCATAAGAAGACCTATAGCTATAACTGATACGGTAGATTCTGAAAGCATCTGGTTAGGCCTTCACTACTTGACTGATTTCTAGTCTGTTTCCATTTCAGTGTTAAGCACTGTATGTCCATAGACGTCAAAGCGTTTTCGAGGCTCTGTCGGTGGATTCTATAATTGCTAGTTGGAGGGGAAACGATTGGGCCATTATCCAACTGCCCCCCCCTCTTCGCAAAACAATTCGTAGAACGTACACCATTGTTGTTGGGCAGATATTTTTGTCCCCCCGGTCAAAATGCGGTCATGCGGTTTTTATGATGTCCTCCAAGATCAGACAGGCATCAGATATCCGCGTCCTGGTATCCCTATCTCCGCATGCTTTGTAGTTAGTATCCTCGGAAGTTCACTCCTATGCGTCTCCTGTAGCCCATAGACCCATTTTTTCGAAGCATGAATTTATTTTGCCTCCCTTGCCTCTCTTTCCTAGAAGACGCCCTTGGACTCAATAGACGTAGCCGACGCCCTTGTTCGTCTGCTGGCCAACTACTGTTTCGGTATACGTTTCCACACAAAGACCCATAAATGGTAAGAAATAATGTTTCCTGTTTTTTCTTGCGTTAATTCCCCTTTTCACACAACCCTGTTATCATCCAGTGCTTATATTAGTTTGGTTTTTGAATCGTTACTCAGGTAAGAGATCCTGACCCCCACTCTCCCCCTAAAACGGATAGCGTCGCTTCTAGAAATTCGTGTATGCCTCATTTTAAACTCCTCCGATCACCTATGGCCAAAAGAGAAGCTTTAATGGTTGTTTTTGAAGGTATAAAGGAGCATTTGAGTGTCAGGGAGATTTTCCCCTCCCCGTCTATCGTCAAGCGTGAGCTAAACTGGCGTATAAGCCCACAGTTGAAAGCGTCCCTGACCTAGTCTAATAAGTTTGGCCGTCACTTAAATCTGGGGAATACTATCGCTAATTTAGGGTGACAGTTGGTGGATCCGTATGACACCGTGCCTTCAAAATTGTATGTACTTCCAGAAACCACGAACTTGAAGTCCCACTCAGGCTAATAATAGCATTGAGGGCGAACCCTACTTAGCATGGTTTCCCAAATCCCTCATCTGATATCGGCATTGGCAAAACTGACTTGTAGGGCCCTATAAATATGCATTCATGCAGGTGCCTTTCTGTGAGATGACTAATCGTGGGAATGGAGACATTCCTAACGAAAAAAAAACAGCAAACGAGTTTTGAGGCCGCTGGTTCTGTTCACGGTCGATAACAAAATCGATTTTTCCCTTATTTACTACAGCACGCAAGGTAATGTTACAATAGAAATAATGTCGTGATCTTCGTACTTATCTGTCGACCACCATCACCACCACTGATTCCAAAACGGCGTCGATATTAAAATGATGTGGCCCAGTCCTATGCTTTGCCATCAAAGTCCATGCAATCAATCACAGAAGCTCACAGCGGAACTAATTAATTAATTCCATAAATTAACTGATTGCATTGCTGCTGTCTACCCATCTCGGAAGATGAACCCGAAAACCAATGCCTTAACTAAGATCTGTAAATTATCCTCCGAAATGCTCATTTTATTCATGGTTTTGTGACGTTAGGCCTAAATCTTTGTAACCACTTTATTTGCCCTTGTTTCACTTCCACCCTCCATTTTAGGGAACAGTGGTTGAAACCGTTTATACGTCTACTGCGCGTTGATGCCTCCGTGCGGACAAACTTTGTCAAGTACACGTTCTTCTCCTCCCGAACACACATTCACGAATTCCTTTTCCAATGTCCCTATCCAGGGGTATGTGCATTTCTTTGTGGCAAATTTGATTGTTTGAACCCATGTGTAGTCAATTTAACCAGCAGCCCAATGCCTTAGTCAACTTTTTCCTTCCAACCAGCTCTAAACTCATATTTCGCACACTTGACTAAACTCTTAAGAATACTGTTGCTAACGTAACTAGGCTAGGACCGAAGGAGCCAATAATCGCGACTGGATATACTATTCCGAAGAAGCACTCCAATTGCTTGCTGTCAACAGAAAGGAGGAGGGTTCTCTATGTTTGAAAATTTGTGACAGGTGGTCAGTGTTAGTGCCAAAAAAACAAAGGGAAATTACACCCTGGCTAAATTATTTGTGCTTTTGGAGTTTTCAGTTATGTTTTGTAGGGTTGAGTTTGACCTGCAACCTGTTGTTGAAGAACCACGCCAACTGCAACATTGGAGGCGTCGACCATGAGGGAAAGAGGCGCATCGGGATCATAGTGCATCAGGAGTGTGGCATTGGCCAGGGCAACCTTAGCCTTGTCAAAAGCAGCGAGGGCGTCGGTGGATAGCTCAAACGAACGTTTGGAAGTAGAAAGAAGATTCGTAAGCGGCAGAATGGTGTCAGCACAGTTCGGGAGAAACCGGCATAGAAGTTCACCATGCCCAGAAAACGCTGGAGTTGACGCTTGGAAGAAGGAGGCGGGAAGTCGCGGATGGCTGCGAAATCCAAAGGGGGTGAAGAAACTCCATTTTTCTTACACCCATACAGCATTTGTGCGCACTGGGTGCTGAAGGCCTTAAGAACATTTTACACACACCTTTTTGCAGAACTGGCATAACCAGAAAACGCTTGACCCATCTGCTTTATTTTGCTCTCCTACTGAGCGAGATATTGGCAGATCACCTAAAGGCACAACAATCAATTTCGACTGTGTTTGAGCTAATTGAAGTTTTACTGCCTGTCAGTCATTTTTGACTGATAGCTCATAGGAAGATCAACAGGGTCT